TCAGTTGAGTCCAAAAAGGAAACATACAGCTTCAATTTTACTATCAACAATAATATAATAGTATTTTTTCAGTGTAAAAAATACTCAGAGCTTTCAGAAAACACAACAGAAGTGTTAGAATGTAGAGACAGCAGGCAAAGATCCTGAACAGTGTTTTTTTCTTTATACCGTGTATTCCATTAGCCAAACAAACGGATAGTATGGCTCTAAAAATAAATATATAAATGAAGCTTTGTTAGAAGGGCTTATTTTGGTCTGTCCATGTTTATTGATGTCTGTCATCACCATGATGTAAAGATTTCACAATCTACTTAAATGTTCTCAAGTTGTATTATTTCTTAATCAACAATAATGTGATCCATTTATTTAGTTTTGATTGTACCGATCACTGAATTATCTGAGCACAATTTCCGTACAAGACAAATGGTAAAGTAGTGAAGGAATACAATAACTAAGCAGTCAACAGGATACGTCATATTGCCATATATTGGCCTTGCCAAATCCTGTGTGGATGCTTTGATTTCTTTTCCTCTTTAATTTAAAACGCAACACATTTTTATTACTCCTGATGACTCTGAGGAGTTTTAAACTGCTTCTATCTACTGAAGAGAAATGTACAGTTCTTTTCAGTGACTACAGAGAATTGCTTCATTGCTTCTATGATTCATATGTGGCTCCACCAGTAAAAGAAAGCCCCCGGCTAAGATAAAATAAAATAAAACAATTATCTCAATGTGAATTAACCTTAGGAAATAGAGGTCTCCTTTGTTTTTAAAAAGCCCAAACAAATAAATCTGGCTTCCTATACTCTTAGAGATTCCTTTGGAAATGTTTTTCTTTGTTAATACATTCTGTGCATGGATACAAGGCAGAAAAGTCACCAAACCCATTTTCTTATTGATAAGAGATGTTGTGGACTATAGGTTATAGCAACATCTGAAACAGGTATTCTGAACACACTCTCAAAACATAATACATAAGATGCCTCTTCTATCAACCAACATGGATGTTTTATAGCACATAAAGCTGTAGGGGGAAGATGGTGAATATGATTGAAAAGCTAAGAGAGTCCTGAAGATTTGTTTTCTGTCCCTGCACCAAACACAGCTGTGTAATAGTAGACTAAAGAAAACATTTTGGAACTCAGCATATTAAAAGCTGATACTCACCCTGTTCATATATCAAAACAGCTAGAACTTATATCAATATGATTTTACTAATGTTATTTGTAACGATTAGAAAAATGCATCATTTAGCTTAAAAATATTTTTAATACTTTATTCTCTAAGACAAAATGTGATTTATGCCCCAGAGAAAGCTACTGGGATTAAAAAATGGAATATTACCCATTCTAACTGTGGGTTTGGTTTTGCCCTCTATGTGTTACCTCCTTTCAGCAAAGTGCTGAGCCGTTATTCATGGTCTTAAATGATGTTCCTGCTAAGAAGGAAAACTGATACAATGACATCAAGTCCTTCTTGAACACAAACTTCACTGTTCTTCCAAACAAACCTGATACAAAGTACATAATAGGTATCTAATATAGGATAGTTCTTTTCCACAAAGGTCCAACGGTTGCTTGGTTTGGTTTTCTTCATCTCCACTCAGAAGCAAACCTTGCGTTTAACACACCTACTTTAGTTTTTGGTTTACCTTCCGTGTGGTCTGTTTCCAGTCACAACTTGTATTTCTTCAGCTATCTTACTCCAAAAGTATGGTAATACTACAATTAGATTTCTCCTGAATGGCTGATCACCTCCATGAAATTTAGACCCTAACCCTCAGAACAATATCTGTGAAGACGACTGTTTTGTCCCTGGCATAGGTTCTTTTGCTGAATAAATACATGATTTTGTTCTGAAAATAAAGGTTCTGAATCAGGAAGAGATGTTGACTGTAACTGCCAGCATTTATCCACAAGTACATGGTTCCATTTTCCCTTCTTTTCTAGATAGTATTTTTAAAAATCACTATTGCAAAGAACAATAACCGAATAGATCACACCAACTTGACCAGCAGATAAAGATGGTGATCAAGGAACTCTCAATTCCCTTTTGTTCAGCTTCTTACATCACATTCATTAATATTGTCACCACTTGACTACACCCATCAAATCGAGTCCTGTGTTGTCACTTCTACAGGTCTGATCCACCGGGCACTGAATTCAAAGGAAAGCCACCTTTAGAATTCACTATGCTTTTATTTAAGTCTTGAGTGATATGCATAACCATCCCACAGCCTCTCTCCGGAATGGTAAAACTTAAAGTCAACTGTCAGAATAAATCCTGGGTTTACGTCTTAGCTTAAGCTTCTGTAATGTGTTATGGTTTGAGAAACCCACAATTTATTGTCGTTTAAACAATTATTCTCTCACCCAATGACCCCTCCCAGCCCGGGAAGGGGGATCTGGAAAAACCAAGGAAACCCAAGGATTGAAATATAAGCAGGTTTAATAGAATAAGACTAGATAATTAACATTAATAACACTACAGAACCAATATTGATCCTGATACCAATGTAAAATATACAAGGATTATACTCAGCCCATTCTATCAGTAGGAAGCTGTGCACTCCCAGCAGGGGATGGTAAATGTAGGACCCTGCGAGCACTATGGCTTCAGGAGGAAGGAAAGGGCTCAGGGGTCTGGCATCGGGGCAAGACGTTCTCAGGATCACAGACATCACAGAAAGAGAGAGAACTTTGCAGCAAACTTTCTGATTTGTAGTGAATGTGGTGTTCATGGTATGAAATAATCCTGTTGGCCAGCTTGGGTCAAGTGTCCGGGTCTCACCCCTCCTCATCCCCGCACCTGGCTAATTCGAAAACACTGAGACCTTGAAGCCCCCACACTATAGCTGGCTATAAAGTATTTTCACAAATTCAGACACTAGACTCTTCTAAAAGTGCAGTTTTCCCAAGCTTTAGAGGAGAAATTAGTCCTGTGTCACTCAAGCCAGGACATACTGCATCATGAATTCTTAAAGAAGTGATTGTGAATTAAAGCAAAATAATGGTATCAGTATTATGCAAAAATACCTGCTACGTGTTACCTCAGTTGCCACAACTGACATGCACAAGCACTGGTTCTACTACAAGCAAGGCATTGTTTCTATGAAATGGCCATCCTTCAACCATTTTGACTTGCTAAATCCCTTCGGATAAAGTACTTTTGGTTCAGGACCAAGGAGGAACAGAGATAGCTTTAAATCATTATGGGTAGGGGCAATCAGGAAACTCCCAAGTCAGCAACATAAAACAGGAGTACAGTAGCAGACAAACCAACGCAAAGCAAACACAGTCTAAAGGTCCGGATCCACTTCTTCAGATGTTTCAGACTGCTGGAGTGATGCGAGTGAGCTGCCCCACTGCCTCGTCATTAGTCTGGATGTCGCTTAGTTGACATGTGCTATCTGCTTTACTTTCACCAGTCATTCTACACTTTACCATTCATTTGAGTTAGAGCTGTAATAACATGCCAGCTGAGTGAATCATTTGGAGTCAAATGCGTGTTATTCGTTATTCAGCGGCTGCCCGCTTGGTCATGCATCCAAATGGCCAGATCTAAAGTGACAGAACTTTGTATTTCCTATTACAGCACTGAATTAGCCAAGCACAGGGAACCGGGAGGGGAATATTCATGGTATTACCAGGGGAGGAAGGGAGGAAAAAAGCTTCCTGACCTTTAAAATGGTTAGATCCTTCCACAAGCTGTAATTTAGAATGAAGTGGATGGCATCACTTTAATACGTCACATAGAATATTCTCGATGCTGTTAATGAGCTGGCTATGAACCTTTGTCCAACATATATCTTAAGGACAATGTAAGAGATGTTTGAGGCATCAGACTTCACTTTTGACAAAACCCATTTGAACTCCTTGAGATAATGAAGCTAGTGAAGCTTCCCTGTGGCTAGTACTCCTCCTCCTTTGCTTCTAACATGTACCTGCTTCATTTATGACCGGCTTAGATGACAAATTCTCAGAAATGGACTTTAAAAAATATTTTGGCTGCAAACTTTTTACAGACTAGACAGAAAACCCCCCAAAAGTATTACAGACTAAGTAGAAAGAAATGCAAACACTCTATCCATTCCTACACTATTGCACTTTGCTCATTAATGTGAGCAAAAATGTTTTACCCCATCACTTGTTATAGCTAAGATATTTCCAAGGTTTTTTTGCTTCCTCTAAATACAATATGCTGAATACACAGCCCAACATGAAATAAATGCGTATTGTGAAATTAAGGAATATTGATGAACTCAGACTACAGCAAATCCACAGCCCAAAGAGATGGTGGTGCTACTCCCTACCATGAGTCAGAAGGGGCCCAAAACTTCGTAAGATGAACTCGGCTGCTGCAGGGGGGTGGAAGGAAGAACTGCATCCACAAAGAGGTCCACAGGAACGCTCGCTGTACACACAGCACACTGCAATGAATTTTGAAACTCCATAAAATACATGCCCAATTTTAGGCACGTAAGTAGTGGATTTATTCCAATCGAGGGGCCATCAACAAACTGATGCCGGCATCTAACAGTGAACTCAATAGAGAAAATTTAGACACCTGTGGAACCACAACTAGCGATCCCCCAAAATGCACGTTCAGCTGCCATAGGTGAGGCTGCAGACACCCACCCTCATTAACACAGAGCCTCGTTAGGGCCCCCAAAGCAGGCAGGTCCCCGGAAGCTCCAGCTGGTGGAGGTCTCCTTACAGCACAGCCTGCCCTTGAATTAAAGGATTAAGCTCCCGGCAGAAACGCGTAAACACCGGCATCGATCACGAGGATGAGACCTGCTATATGAAGGTTTACATCTTCGCTACAGCAGAGTTTGAAGCTTGGGTCTCTTGCTGGCAAGCACGTGTGCCAGTCGGGAGGCCGCTGCCCACCTGTACCATCTCCCCGATGCCAAAAGCATTCGCTCAGGCAGCCCCAAGAACAGCTTTAGGACAAGGAATGGGTGAGGAGCCACTTTGCACAGCCCATTCCCCGGCGATGGGCAAGACCTGGGCACCTCAAGTGGAGATTCAAGCCATGATTCCCACAAGAGAAAGTGGCCTCCAGTTGCGCCAGCGGAGGTTTAGGATGGATATTAGGAAAAATTTCTTCACAGAAAGGGTGGTCAAGGATTTGAACAGGCTGCCCAGGGAAAGGGTGGAAGTATTCAAAGGAGGGGTAGAGGTGGTGCTGAGGGACATGGTTTAGTGGTGGACATGGCGGTGTTGGGTTAATGGTCGGACGTGATGCTGTTAAAGGCCATCACAGAGGATTCTGTGACGCCATTCGATGT